AGCAATTTATTCACTTAGATAATAAACTAGAACACCTCCTACCTCAATAGAGAATAGAATCTCTATAATCCAAAGCAATCAAGTCCAAAAAGGAAAACCAAACTAGGGTTTTGTAGAGGAGAGTGAGAGGAAGCTAAAGTATTCCAAGCTCAAAGGTCTAAGGTGAGTGGAAGGAGGCCAAAAATGAAGTCAAAATTCTAAGTCAAGTTTTTCCTTCGATGGAGGCTAGGTTAGAGTTTGAGAGTAAAGTGGTGAGGAAGATACAATAAAGTGAGGTGAGTGGAGGATTTAGCATTCTTCCACTCACTATGTGCTCTTACACTACCTCTCACACACACACATAATGCAAGACTTAATTTGGTACCTACACTTGTCACAAATCCATGGCTCCTTCCTAGGCTTAATCCTAAGCCTACACTTGTTAACCATCCAAGCCAACAAGTGCTCCAATTCTAAGCCAACAAACGGGTGAATTTACACCCTCCATGTGTCAAGAGATGAAGCTTCCAACCTACTCCACCCCAATGCTAACAAGTGGCTCCATGAGAGTGTGACACTTATCACACTTTCCAAAAATTGCAAAAAGGTCATTTTCCAAAATATCTTCCAAATTAAATTACAAAATGGTCTCTAAGACATAAAATAATTACTTTATTTAATTACACTTAAAACCCCAAAAGTCAAGAATATTTCCAAGAAGTTATGGATCCGTACCATTTACAAGAAAAGTAAACATCTAGCATGCTTTTCTACAAAAGTAAAAATGTAAATATCATGGAAATTAAATATTATGGATGTATGCAAATTTGGAATCAAATCCGAGTACAAAAAGTGAGGTTTTGCAAGGAAAAAGATAAAAGGGAAAAAGATGAAATAGGGAAAAAGATGAAAAAAAGAAATTACTGAAAAAAGAAAAGAAGGAAAATGACCGGGTTATTACACAATATCAATGAAGAGTATCGGAACCCACATGGAGTGTAAATCAAAGGCACATCAAAAATAATAAACAAAAAATTTAGGAAAGTCTATAAAATACGAAACGTTACACCATTACACTCCAAATGCTTACAATTCTCCAATTTGCTACCAATTTCCCAATGTTTTGGCAAATCATTATGAAATCAAGTTCAAAATCATTCAAATGTTGCCATTTTTTTTTATGGTAAATCGAATGAGGATCCTTATCGGCATTTGGATGAGTTCTTGGAAATATGCTCAACAGTAACAATCACCGGTTTACCAGAAGAAGCTTTGAAAATGAAACTCTTTCCTTTTTCCGTTAAAGATAAAGCAAAGTATTTGTTCAATACTTTAGGGGCAAATACCATTACTTCTTGGGCTCACATACAACAGAAGTTCCTTAAGAAACATTTTCCCACAATTAAGACCAATCAAATGAGAACGCCCATCATAGGATTCTCTCAAAGCGATGGGGAACAATTCCATGAGGCTTGGGAGAAATTGAATGATTTGCTAAGAAAAATGTCCACATCATGATTTTCCAAAATAGTAATTAGTGCGATGTTTTTATGAAAGCTTGTCGGACACACACAAACAAATGGTGGATGCCTCATGTGGAGGTACATTCATGCTTAAAAATGAGGATGAAATTTAGACTTTATTTGAAATTTTGAGTGAAAATTTAGTGCATTGTGCCATTTCCACTCGATCGGGCCGGATGTCAGTGTTAGGTGGAAGGAGAGTTAAAAATCTTAATTTCATTGATAATTCCTTAGAGGTCACCGCTCAAGTCAAAACCCTTACTCAAAGGTTTGATCAATTTTTGCTAAGAAATTCTTTTGCACCTCAATCATTCTCTTCTACTCCCACTCCAAGTGAAGTGTACATGATTTGCTCTAATCCTTGTCATAATACTCGGGATTGTCCCATTGGAGAACCAACTTCAAGTGAACCTAAAGAGAAAGTTAATGCCGTATTTTCTCGCCCGGCCAATAATCTATACTCCAATGCTTATAATGCCGGGTGGATAAATCATCCAAATTTCTCATGTAAAAATCAAGGTGCAAATGCTAATCCTTCTCAAGGAAAGTATGTACCACCTCATCTAGTATTTAATCAAAATGCTTATCCTCAATCCTATCATCCATCGCAATACTCTCGTCATCCTTCTAGTCATTCTTTAAGTTCTTATCATCAAGCATCTCTCACTTATAATTCACATTCTCATCCTTCTCAGGTGCCTCCTAAGAATTCTGCTTTTGAAGATAAAGTGGTGGCCGCTTTGGGTAATCTTGAGTTAAACACATAATTGCTCCATTCTCATTCCTAATCCATTGCCAAGCTTGAGCTCAAATCGGGCAAATCGCAAATGCAATAAGTGTAAGAGAAAAATAGAAAGCTTCTTAACCAACTAGAACTAAACCCAAAGGCACACTACATGGTGGAAGCTAATCCCTCACCGGGACTTTTTACACATGAACAATTCCAAGCCATTACGACCTTGAAAAATGAGAAAGGTTATGACAATAAAGTCTGTGAGATGCTAAGTGAGGAAAGTGAACCAATTCGAAATGTTGAGTATCATTTGCTTACTCCTCCATCCATTAATTCCAAAATCCCTTCCATCTCATGAAATTGAGAATGAAAAAGAAGAGAATCCATTATTATCATATTTGCCTCCTCTACAAGGGAACCCATATGAGCATAGGGCTCCATTCCCTCAAGCCTTTAGAGAACTTTCCTCCTCAGGAAAACAAAAAGAAAAGATCAATGATATGATAAAAGTTTTTAAACAAGTCAAAATCAATCTTCCTCTTCTTGATGTTATTATTCAAATTCCACCATATGCCAAATTCTTGAAAGACTTGTGTATCCAAAAGAGGAAATCTCGAGGTCAAGTTCCTAAAAAGGTGGTTCTTGCTGAGTAAGTGAGCTCAATAATCCAACACAACACTCTTCTTAAGTTTAAGGATTCCGGTGCCCCTACCATTTCTTGCATCATTGGAAAGAATGGAAAGAATCATGTTTGAGTTGGCCACATCATATTTTTATGTTAGCTGGTTTTTGTCGGGGACATTATAGATGTCAATTCTATCATTTTCCAAATGTTAATTAGGGAGAGGGGAGACGAAGATATCTTTCCATAGTTGAAAGGTTAATTGTGGTATTTGAAAAAATAGTTATGTATTTATAAAATTAGGGATAGAAATGTCTTTTCCTTTAAGAATGGAGTGCAATCATAAAAAAGGACCAATACCAAAATGTTGTTGGCCTAAAATGCAAATGATTAAATTTTTTATTTTCCATTGGCAAAGAACATCCCGGATACCCAAACTTTCTACCTTTTACTTTAAAAGGAGATGGAATATTAAAATTTAAATTAACAATAATTAATTTGATGATGTAGATAAAAGCTCATAACTAGGGGTGCATATGGTTGGGATTGGACCGGTTTGCTAATATTTTAGAACCAAACCATTCCTAACGGTTGCATAAAAATTGGAACTCCGTGAAACCAATGGAACTGAACCAAACCGAAATGTGAGAAAATGATTTAGTTCATTTTTTTTTTTTTTTTTTCGGTAAGTAATTTGGTTCAGTTTGGTTCCACGGTTCTAGACTTTTTTTATAATTCATTCTAAAATTTATATAAAATAAAAATATGTAATATATGATATAATTCTATAATAAAATATTATGACATATAGTTGAGTGTTTAAAAGGCTAATCTTATTAATCTATTGTTTATACTTATAATACAATATATAAAAATATATATATACAATTTAGTAAACTTTTTAGTTCGATTCAATTAACATTTATAAACGGTTCTATGTTTTTGGAACCAGAATCGAACCGAACCATGAAAAAAAGATTCAAACCCTAAGTCACATAAAGCGTAAATGGAAGTGAGAGCGTGAAAGTGACAAAATTTAAGTCACATAGAATAGAAATGGGAGCAAGAGCGAGAACGCGCTCGGAGTGTAAAAGCGACACCCGATAAAAAGGATTGTGTAATTTAGATCAAACCTATCAATTCAGTTTTGTCTGGTTCAGTTTATCGGTTCAATAAAAATTTTGTGCATCCTTCCTCATAACACATTAATGCAACTAAGACGGGCTGGGCTGGGCTGGCTGGGCTTGGCGTGGTAGTTCGCCTAGCTTGATTGTTAGGTTGGGTTCGGCTAAGTATCTACTCCTAACCGACTTTTGGAATTAAAAAATTTGATTACACTTGCTAAGGCCTTATTTGGTAAAGATGTGGTTTTCATTTTGTTGTTGTGCTTATGTGAAAAATGGCAAGTTTTGAAAGGTCGTGCTGATATTTTTGTCAAAACCAAAACAGTTTGGTAACATAAATCTGCTATTGAATTTTTTAAAAGATAAAAGAGAAAATATGTTTGGTAATTATTATTATTATTTTAAATTGAATCTTTTATTTACTATTCAAGTATACTTGAAGAATAATAAAATAACATTTTTAATTTTACTATTTGAGTATAATAATATATATATATATTTTAATTTTATTTACTACTTGAGTATAATTGAAAAATAATAAAATAATATTTATTTACTATTCGAGTATAATTAAAAATTAATAAATTAATAAAAGAATAAAATTACATTTTTAATTTTACCATTCTGAGTATAATAAAATAAATTTTTAGTTTTTATTTACTATTCGAGTATAATTGAAAAATAATAAAATAAAATTTTATTTACTATTTGACTATAATTAAAAAATAATATTTTTAATTTTACCATTGAGCATAATGAAATACATATTTAATTTTATTTACTATTTGAGTATAATTGAATAATAAAATAATAAATAATAGTTTTTGAAAATCAAAACTAAAAACAAAGCTTCATTTTGGAGTTGTGGGAATTGTGAAGGAAATGATAACTAATATTCAAAAATTTTGAAATGTGAAAAATCAATATAGAATTATTAAACGGATTTTGTTGCCCTTTTTAAGAAAAATGAAAACCACAACAGAAAACCAAATTTGATAACTTTATCAAACATCTTGTTTTGCATTTTATTTGAAATGAAAATCGTTTATAAATATAGTATTCTTATTGACAACTTAAGAAAATATAATTAAAAATATATATATCAATCAAGTCAGAAATTATTAAAGAAATGAAGTGAGTGTGTCAATTTCTTATAAAAAAAAAAAAAATTATTAGAAGTGTCAAGTGACATTTAAAATTAACAGTGGTATAAATATAGATTTAGCCCATATGAGCCATTATTAAAGCTCATAGAGTTTGACCCAAAATCCAAATTCAGTCTGACCCGTTTATTTAGATAAACCCTGTAACTAAAAATCTCCAGCAGCCGCCCGTCCTCTTCCGCTCCACACCGTGAGCGGCTCTCTACATGCTACACAGAGTAATCCGAGTCGCTAAAACCATGGAAGGTTTGATTTCGTCTGGAAACTTGTTTCGGAAGCACCGAATCTGTGATTTGGAGTTGAAATTGATTGAAATTTTGTCAAAAATTTCAATTAAATTTTCCTCTAATTTCAAATCCAAGTCATTGATTGGTGCTCCAAATGCAACAACTTTGTGGTGGAGGCAACTTCTTTTTCTTTCTTGTCTATGGAAATCGGATTTCATAGCTGGGTATGTAACGGAGTCCAAGCTTAGCCCGAGCACGAGCAAGAAATACCCATAGTTTGGTTCAGTTTCGTTTACCCTAGATTTTATAGTTACTAATACTACTACTAATCATTCAATGCTATTGAGTTTTTGTAATTGAACCGTCATTGTAGACCAAAGATTGATCATAATAGGTGTCATCTTTCCTCCAACAGTGCTTTGAGAAGAAGAATGAGTGACCTTGAGGCTGGAGGCAGCCGCTCCGGCTTGATGACCAATAATACTAAGCAAGACCGTCAAAGATTGAGAGTATGTTCAATTATTCTACCTTTTTATTTATTTATTGATTATTTTTATATATGTAAGTCTGCTAGTTCATCTTCGCACAACCTAAATCGCTTTGCCAAATTTTCTTACAAATTTTGAGTCATTTAATAAAAAATTTAAATCAATGGTTCTTGCTCCTTAGGCTACTCATCTTTCCGAATCTGCTAGGAAAGAAGAAAATGGTACTGCCCTTTCTATATTTTCTTGTTTTAATTTACTACAGTTTTAATTTATTTATTATTAATTACGGCATGGTATGTCATTTTTAGGTTCCATTTATGATGGACATCTTCTTCTTCTTCCCTCTCCCTCTCTTTTATTTTTCTTTGATTATTAAACTCATCAATCTTTTACATGTTTCTGTGGATTTACTTAGTTCTGTCACCTGGTCCTTATGATATTGGACAAGAGGCACTTTTGTCATTGACGAGGGAATATGATTTGTCTGCTTTGCAGCAATATGGAGGGGCAAGTGTTATATATATATATATATATATATATATATATATATATGTATGTATGTATGTATGTATGTATGTATTCTTTATATTAATTGTCATTTAGTTCTAGATCATCGTTCTAAATCCAAGCCGTATTTCTTTTACATTAGGTTAAAGGACTGGCAGCTATGTTAAAGACAGATCTAGAGAAGGGAATCCCTGGTAATGATGATGATATATTAGAGAGAGAATTTTTTTTTGGATCCAACACATATCCTCGGAAAAAAAGACGGAGTTTTTGGGTTTATATTGTAATTAAATTCAACATTTGGCATTGCATTCCTCCTACTGATTTTAAATAAGCAAAATATGCTGTCTTTCTATAAGTAAAAAAATTGTGCTATTGAATTTATTTGGCTGTTATATGTTTCATAGAGGTTTCTTTGGGAAGCTTGCCTAGATATAACCCTGATCATCTTGATGATAGCTGCAGCTGCTTCTTTGGGGCTAGGTATAAAGACACAGGTGAGATTAAATGGAGCTTAGCCATTAGGAGTATTTATTGTTGTAGTATGTTCCTAGTTTTTTCCTGAGTTATCATCTTGTTGTCTGTTGGCTGTCCATAATTGGTAAATTTTGGTCCATTATAGTTCTTTGAGTTAAGCATTAACTTACAATATGATCCCCTAATTGCAAATTTGAGCATCTCCAGTCATAGTATATAATTATTGTTCTATACCAATATTCAATGTGGTATTGGATCTAAATACGATTTTGTTTTTGTTTATATTTTTTAAAATGAATTGTTCTTCATTGACTTTATATATGAATAATTGCTGGTCCATATTTCTTTTATAAGTAAATGGTGGCAGAATGGATCCCCTCCCCCTCCTTCCTCCCTTCTCTTCATTTTACAGCTTAAACAAAGCCCCATATGGTTCTGTATGATCTGTTGTGTGGGAGGAGTTCATATATTTTGTATTTTTCATAAAAGAAAACTTGATAGAAAGGAGTGCAATTTTTCAAAACTTAAGATTATTGTTTAAGTGTCGCTCTGGAAAGGGCATAAAACAGTAGGCCTATCTAAAAAATTTAAAAAAATTGGACATAATTTTGGTATGGGTTCAGTGGAGATCCAGTTTGACTATAATTCTTATAGGTTTTTAGCTACTCCATTGAAGTTCTTTGAGAATCATGGTTTTGGTTCAAGAACTCATATGACACTTCTCTTGTAAAAAGATGAGAAGTTACTGGATTTGGTGTATTATTCCACTGAGAACCTATTTCTTTGGAATATTACTTATCAAAAAAAAAAGAAAAAGTAAAAAAAAGAAAAAAAGAAAAAAGAGAACCTATTTCTTTTTAAAGTGTTTTGTAGTAAAACTTGAATCATAATATTGGTTGCGTCTCATTTTCTGAGTTAAAAATTTCGATGCTAAAAAATTGTTGATTACTTGATAATTCCTTATATTTTTCATATATCCAATGGATTTTCTTAAAAGTAGGCTTTAGCTGATAATTTTAGTAAGTGTTTTCAATTACATCATGTGAGATCCATTTCTGTTTTGTTATTTTGTTTGGCATCATGGATCTTTCAATGTCTCACAAAGTGAGCATGAATCCTTGAATTGCTTACCAAAGAGAACATTTGTACTGAAGCATGGGTAGTCCTCTTCTTTATTTTATTGTTTCTTTTCTTTTAGGGTATTATCGTTTGTCTACGACTTTAAAATCAAACGGGGCTGTTTTGTTTCAGTGGAGTTGGAATTTCTTTGAAGTCTCAGAATGATCTTATTCGGTACATGTCGTTTTGTGTCTTTCAGTCCTTTGTTTTAGTTTTATTCCCATTTTAGTGTTTCAATGTCCTTTGTTCCTCCTTACCCCAAAAATAGTCTCTTGTCCTTTAGGATACCTAACATTGCAGTCACTGCCCACAGAGCATAAATGTCATTATTCATGCTTTATTACCCTCTTCCTTTAAAAGAAAAGTATGTTCTCACGAGACGCATAAAATTTTTGTTCTAGTCACTCCTTTTAAAGCTTATGACAGTGTTATTAGAAAGTGACACTGGACAACCTGCCGGACTGGTGAATCGGTGGACCAATAAGTGAACCAATTTGGTTAGTGAAAATTCCGGAGTAGAATCCAGGGCTGGGATTTCTGTCAAACCAGAGTGAATTAATTGGCTTGAAGTGATTGCTCCTTCCTGTTTTCCATTGTAAAAAATATGGCTTGGCGTCCTTAGTTGCGTGCAGAATTTTTACCCACTAACTACCACTCTTTTGTTGACATGTTTTACCACAATCAGTACTCATATGCATTTTACATATATTAATAATCAAGCTGTGCAACTGACCAGTCTGACACAATGGTTGTACTGGTTACCCAGTGAATTGCTCCATCATCGGGTTAATGTCAAGTCTGATTCTGATAACCATGGTCTGTGGGCAGATTCTTTATTAAATTCTGTTGTTAGGTCAAGTACAAAATCTTTGTAGAAACCATACACCGAAGAAAAGTTTGATTTGGTAAATAAGTGGCGTTAAAGAAATTTCATCTTTGCAATATTTGAAAATTGATGTAGTTCAAGTATAATTATTTTCTTACTGGTATCAAAGAAAATAAAAGTAGGGTTTTTTTTTTTTTTTTTTTCATTCTAGAAATGCTAATTTTAGATGCTAGTCGTCACATGGTTGCAATTAATGGGCAAAATAAAATGAAAAAACAAACCACGTGTTCGAGTTTTTCAATGTGTTCTTAATTCAAAATTTCAAATATAAACGTGGGAGATTGTTTTACTTTATCTCTGAAGTAATTGGCCAACAATTTATAGTGTGCTTAGTTAAACATTTACTTAGGAGCTTCCAACCTTTTTTTTATGAGTTATTGTTCACACACACACACACACACACACACATATATAAAATAAGGGAATTGCTTGTTTTTCTCTCTCTTTTTAATCCACTATATTGTGCAAGGTTTCTTTTTGTGTATTTAAACAATGATTATTTTAATTTAGGGTTAATTTCACTCACACCCCCTCAGGTTTGGCCATTTTTCACTCTTAAATCTCTTTCGAAAATAACTATCACTCACATTACAAACTAATGAACCGTTTTTCATTCACACCCCAACCGTTAGTTGAACAGTTCTGACACGATGTTAAATGACTTAAATACCCTTTGCTTTTGTCAAAATAACTCTTTAGCCTAAAGAATTAGATTAAAAGACTAAATATATCCCTCTAAATTTTGTAATTACAAATTATATATAGATACATATATATACGAACACAGACACACACACACACACACACACATATATATATATACACACAAGCACAACACCACCACCAACATCGGCGAGGATCTCGGCGCAACAAACGATGGCGGGGAAGGTGAGCCATCGTGGTGACGAGCTCCCGGGTAGCGATGGCGATAATTTCGGCGCAGGAGACGACGGTAGGGTAGGCGAGCTCGAGGGTAGTCTTGGTGCAGACGACGACATCGAAGGCGTTGCTGAGGAGGGAGAGGTTGATGTTGGCGTTGCACTCGGCCTTGTTGATGGGAGTGGAGGAGATGAGGACGGAGGCGTCGCAGCCCTCTGGTTCATCGTCTTCCTTCACACCAATGGTGCCGACGTGATAGTCTTGCTGTCATTCAATTCTGATATGGGTTCGGTAGAATTTGGGGACATGGTGGAATCTGGGGTGGCCGTGAAATTTTGGTGGTGGTGAGAGATGAGATTGAATAGAAATTGAGTTGGCTGTGGGGTTACAGTGATGCCATGGCTGTAATTGTGAAATTGAGGTCCAGTAAGGTCTGTAACAATGGCGTAGTACTCGATTCTGGTGGGTGATGCATCCAAGGGTGATGAAGCCACTAGATGGAGTTGCAATTGCGAACTAAGAAACTGTGATTGCAAATGGAAAGCGAGAACCTAAGTCGGTGACGTCATTTCTGGCGAGCCCTTCTCCCGTGGAGGGTGTGTGGGTTGTGGTGGTTGGTAGATGTAATGATAAGGGGTATATTAGTGATTCATGTAATATGATATTTGGGAATAAAAGAGATTAAAAAATTAAGGGTAAAATTGTCTTTTTACATATTTTTAACGAAAATTGTAACGGAAAAGTGAGAATGGACCTATGTAATAGTTATTTTCGAAAGATGTTTGAGGGTGAAAAATGGCCAAACCTAAGGGGGTGTGAGTGAAATTAACCCTTTAATTTATATCAGTTCATGTCTCTGAATTAAGTTTTCCCTTGTAGGGTATTAAGGAAGGATGGTATGATGGGGGAAGCATTGTGTTAGCAGTCACCCTTGTTATAATTGTTACAGGTATTGGTCACGTTAAATTGAATAGTATAACTCTTGTATGCTTCGACCTTTATTTTTTTCGATCTATTGTAATAATTTCTTTTGGCTTTAATAATTAGCTTCATAATTATATTGAATGTGAGGTTTATGCAGTTATAGTTGGTTTCATTATCCATCTCCATCTCTTTTGGCTAAAGAATAAAGTGTTTTGCTACATATTTAGGCGTTGTGTTGCGTAACAGTTCTACCATACATTGTTCCTGTAATGCGATAATTAGTCAAGTACATATATTAGTATTCACTGAAAAAAGGTTCATCATCATCATTGTCTAACCTTAACTGGTTGACGGGCATCATAATCATGGGATGCTGTTTATGGTCCCAAAAGTGCTACCCACGTCCCACAAAATTCCTATCCTACAACCTCTAATAACAAAAACATGTTTGAAAATCTAGCAACCTGTCACTTTGAAACTGTAAATCCGAGCTAAATGTGATTCTTTTCAGTCTAATTTTTTTTTTTTTTTTGATGAGTAAAAATGTATTAAGAAGCATTCAAAAGGGGAATGCATCCCAATGAACTACACAAGGCTAAAAAGCCAAACTCTCAAAGAGTCCAAATAATCAACAATCTCCTCCATGTATTTACAATTTATCCCCAAAACCCAACAAAAAGAGAACAAAGAATAGAGAACTTAAGCGCTCCAACAGGAGTCTCCATTCCATCGAAGGATCTCTTATTCCTTTCTGGCCATAAACATCACCAAAGACATAGAGGCATTACAAAAGTGCCTGTATGCTTATTGTACTCCAACCCTGGCGTTGTGCTCTTCCAAGTCCTACCACACGCATTATTGTTACTTCCTTTAGGGTACACTCATCTCACTCCAATAGTTCTCTTCCGCCATAGACTCCATGTCTATTCTCGTCTTTGGCTTAAATATTATGTTGGCTTTATATTATATGTATGTCTGACTACTGGCCTTCGTACATAATATGGTGCTTTTGAGCTAATCGTACCACTAGTAAATTTTCACTCAGCTTGTTCTTACTCCATGCTCTTTTCTGTTTGTATTTTTTCTAGACATTTTCTCTAGCATACTGAAATCGGCATTTGGCAGTCACTATTATTATTTTTTTCTTACTGGTAAAAATTAAATTTTCTACGGAAATTTTGTTGTGTGATTTGTACTTCAAATTGAGGGCCTGTTGTCTCTGGTGGTCATAAAGAAACTCCAAACACGAGTTGGCTTGCACAAAATACTACCATCATTGCATATTTGATTCATTACCGTTATCCTTGTAGATTCCATTAGTAACATGTTAACATGTTCTCCATGCTTGCATCTTGAATTGTATTTGCCATGACGCCGTGTAAATGATGGTTTAGTGGTTCACAGTTGGATGCATAAATCTGGCTTTCTCTGATTACTATATTTGATGTATTTAATGCATATCTGCATCATACTAAGTCATGCTTTTGCACAACTATAGGTTGTAATGAAAAACATGTATATTTGTTTCATTGTGCTGAATTCTTGACTTCTTTCATTTTTCATTTTCTCCATCCTAAAGCTACAAGTTATTGTGGACAATCCCTTCAGTTCCAAACTATAAATGAGGAGAAGCAGAATATACATTTGGAGGTACGATATCTGCTGTTTGGCAATGTCCTTGACCTACAATGTTTTTCTTTTTCCTCACTGTTGAAGATATGCATACACAGGTCATTAGAGGTGGTAGCAGAGTTGTAGTTTCGTTATTTGATCTTCTTGTAGGTGATGTGGTGCCTCTAAAAATTGGTGATCAGGTGAATGACATAGTTCCTGTTTTTGCTGTGTTTGACCCTTGCATTTTCAGTGTTTTTACTTTTCTACTTCACTCCTACCCCAGGTCCCTGCTGATGGTGTTCTAATTTCTGGTCACTCTCTTGCAATTGATGAATCTAGCATTACTAGACAGAGCAAGATTGTAAGCTTTATAACCTATTATATTGTGCTATGTTATTATTGCAATTTTTCTTTTCTTAGATCACTAGCATGATCTCCTTTTCGGTAGGTTCAAAAGAGTTTGAAGGCACGACTTTTAATGTCTGGCTGCAAAGTTGCAGATGGTTATGGATTTATGCTGGTAAAATTTCTTATGAAGTTTCGTTTCCTTTGTTGTTTCTTTCTTCCTCTTGCTCCTAATATTGTGATCACCATTGACCTTTTATAAAGTTCAAATGTTTTCTAACTTTAAGATAGTGTTGCAAATGCATTTCTGAAGGTTATGACTGCTGTAGAAATTGATTAATATGCAAAAATATAGTTGTGTCCAAGTTAACCTGAATCAAGACTTCTCATTGTATTATCCAAAAGCAAAATTATAGCCTATAATTATATAATGTGAAAAACCTGTACTGGGAACTTAGGAACCGCTGGTACCTGCATAAGATATGTATTTGATACAAAAAGCAGTCCAGTTTAGAGGTTATACATCATCATCCTTTCCTTTATCCCGTACAAACGGGTCGGCCACATGGATTCTTTCACTCTTTTCTGTTAGAAGCCATATGTTGTATTAGATTTAATTTTTTAAAATAATTTCTTATCACTTCATTCCATGTGATTTTAGAGGTTATACATCATGATCAATAATACACAGAGAAGATTAGCATGGCCCCTGGCAAGGATGACACGGACAAATTGAGAAATGGTCCAAAAATTTGTGTAAAAAGCCAAGGAGTCTGGTAGTGAGAGATGTTTGGGCTACGTTTTTATTTTATTTTGATAAGTAATATTTGTTATAGAAAGCGTTCCAGGGGGGAACACGGCCCAAGAAACTAAAGAAGAGCCACATCGGGCCCCTAGTTTCTCAATATGTCCAAAAAATCAACTATCAGCCCCAAGGATTTACAATTCCTCCAGGCAGCCCAACAGAAAAGAGAACTCAGGATAGAATATTTCAGCTCCCCAATAGGAGTCTCCTCACCATCGAAGGATCTCCTATTGCGTTCTCTCCATAAGCCCCACTAAATACACAAAGGTGCCACCCTCCAAAGGACGCGGGCTTGAGAGCCCACTATACAACGTCTCCAAGCCTCAGTCAATTCTAATGAGGTCCGAGGCATAACCCAGTGGACCCCAAACAAAGACAAAATCAAACCCCACATGTCCCTAGCGACCGGGCAATGCAACAAAAGGTGATCAACTGTCTCGTTGTCTCCCTTGCACATGCAACATCAGTTGACAACAACCTGTCTCCTCCTTCTCAAATTGTCACAGGTCAGAATCCTTTCCGAGAACCGCCGTCCAACAAAAGATAACCCTCTTTAAGGGTGCCTTGGTGCGCCATACAGCCTTCCAGGGGAAAGCAGCCCCTTAATCATCTGAAATCTTCCCAAAGGAGGAGCAAACATCAAACCTCACCCACAGCAAAGAAGAAGGGGTCCATACCAAAGAATCAGCCTCACCCACAACAACTACCTGGCACTACAACAAAGACAAAAGCTCATGAATGTCATCCAACTCCCAATCCTGGAAATGCCTCACAAACCGCACATCCCAAGTCGTCCTCTTACCATCAAAGCAATAGGCGACGACAACCAGAGCATGCCTATTTGTAGCAATCCTAAAAAGCCTAGGAAAAATCCACGCCAGTGTACGATCCCCACACCAGCTATCTTCCCAAAAGCGGATGAATGTGCCCCCTCGAACCTTGAACCTTATGTGTTTAGAGAATTCATCCCACACCTTCCTGATGAATTTGCAAATACCCACCCCGCCTGGGATCCTCACCTCAAGAGAGCACCACCCACCTCTCTCCTCCCCGGATCTCTAGGCAATGACTCTCCTCCATAACCTGTCCCTCTCATCACCGAATCTCCAAAGCCACTTGCCCAGAAGAGCCTTATTAAAAGGTTCTAGTCTTCTAATCCCAAATCTGCCTATCTGGATTGATCTACAAACATGCTCCCAATGGACAAGATGGTACTTGAACTCCTCTACCAAACCACCCCAAAGGAAGTACCGCTGAAGCCTCTCTATCCTCATAGCCACAGAGTTGGGAATCTGAAAAAGGGACAAAAAGTAGGTAGGGAGGCTCAATTACTTGATCTTCAAAAGGGTAATCTTCCCACCCTTCGAGAGATACTGCTTCTTCTACTCCGCCAGTTCCTCTCATGATTGTTTAGAGAATTCATCGCATGAATGATTGGACCGTGTTTTTGGTTGCGTTCGGTATGTTTTGGGTGTCCCCTCAGTCCACAGTGGACACGATTGAGGCTTGAAGAGGGTGTATAGTGGATAGCTAAGCCATAGATATTTGGAGGGTCACTCCCCTTTGTTTATTATGGCGGGGCTTGTGGCGTGAGAGAAATAGGAGATCCTTTGATGGCAAAGAAACACGTATTCGGTCTCTCAAATACTCTATTTTGAGTTCCTTAATCTTGTGAGTCAATGGGCAAAATTGTAGATATGTGGGGAATGAACCTTTACTTACCCTAAAAAAAAAAAATTTGATTATTGGTTTCTCTAGCGAAGGACAGTCTAATTCCTGCGATTAGTAAAAGATTGCTGAATAAAGGAAGTTGGAAGGATTCAGAATGACACCATTTGGTGTCTTCTGTTTTAACTTCCCTCTTTTTTTCTCTTTCCCACCCCCCACCCAACATCGAAACTCAAATTGTTACTCTCTTTGACACCTCTTCTGTTTGTTTCTTTGATAGCCGACCATGTTGTTTATTGTCCAATTTTTTTTCTGTCTACGGTCAGAATTTCAAGTAATTGGAAGAATTCTTATAATACTAGTCTGGTGAGGCGTAGGCCCTACTAGTCTGTATCTGCAAAGCTGGCAGATTCAAACTCAGCTTGTCAGGTCTATGCTCATTTTCAAAATAATGTCTTTCCTAAAAAAAGCTAAGGACTTTAAACCCAGACAGGAAGTTGGCCTCAAATATTATTTTATATATTTTAGGTGTGATGCTCAATCGATATCAGACAAAATAGTTAACAATGTACCTATGCATTGGATATTAATTACATAGATGAACCAATGGGCCTGTGGCCTAGCGGTACGAGGCTCCTACTTTCCAAAGGGAGGTAAGGGGTTCGAACCTCGGTGGAGGCATGTGTGTGTGAGTACCAACTAGGGAAAAAAAAAAAAAATTACATAGATGACAATTTAAAAATAAATTATAGTTTTTTTTATGTTTGGTGTGTATAGCTTGCTTCATTTGCTAAATTATGCTAACTTACAGGTTTTCAAATTTTTTTTAGGTAACAAGTGTTGGAATAAATACAGATTGGGGGTTGCTAATGGCAAGTATGTCAGCAGATTCTGGTGAAGAAACGCCATTGCAGGTTTGGCCTTTTAAATTATCGTTATCATCCTTGATTTTTTATTTCTATGAACGGGGTTGGCCACACAGATTCTTTTTTCTTTTTCTTTTTCTTCACACTCTTATATTATAAGCTATTTCTATCATTAAATTAATTGTTTAAAATAATTTATTTTTACTTCATTCAATGTTAGTTTTGGTTGACCTCCTTGTTTCTTACTGCTATACAAACAAATCTTCATTTTCTCACTGGCCATCTACTGGTTTGTGTTGAATATTTTTATAGTAGCTGAATTTACTCTCTTATGTTCACACTAATAGGCCAACACTTCTAATGTCTCTCTTTCACATTGATTTTTAACCTCTCTCTTCTTGTTACACCTATATAAGATAGCCTGTCAAATAACTGTCCTATATACTTTACCTTTTCACTTTTTTGATATTTGTCTTGTTAAATATTCAACTTTTTAAATTGTTAAGACTGGAGCTTGTCACTACACTTTATGAAGCATCTCTGAGTGACTGACTAGAAATGACTATTTGTGAATAACTTATGATAGGTACGTTTAAAGAGTGTTGCAACATATATTTATATCGTTGGACTGGTTGTAGCTTTCCTTGTTTTTGTTGTCCTCCTTGCCAGGTAAATCGAATCTTATTTGATGAGTTCCCTGTCACCTGCCTCCCCACGGAGAGGAATAACCTTCTTCCCTCCCTCCCTCCTATAAAGTGTTTGTTATGTGAAGCTTATAAATGTGAGTCTCTGCAGATACTTTACTGGAAATACTAAAAATCCAGATGGAACTGTTCAATTTACGAGTGGCAAGACTAAACACAGTGATGCCATATATGCTGCTATAAAGATTTTCACTGTTGCAGTATGTTCCCTTTTAAAATTAAAATTTGATATATATATTTGTGTGTTGGTTTTAATTTTATTTGAGTTTATGACTAATTCCAGAAGAACTTTATAGGTCATGATTGTGGTGGTTGCAGCGCCTAGGAGGTTTCAATCAGTTGTTACCTTAATGTAAGTCTGACAACAACCCCAACCAACCCCATTCTCCCCACACCCCCCCCTCCCTGAATCCTTGGTGAACTTTAGGTATATAAATAAGGTAAAGTCAGGGTCGACACCCCTTTCTCTCCCCCTTCCCCCCCCCCCCCCCCCCCACAACAACACACACACACATTTGTTTTATTCTATTTCATTTTATTAGTTTAGCTGACCATAATTCATACTTCAGCATTGTAAGTCTCTGGGTTTGTTTACCCAAATAGGCTTTTTATGTATAGATAATTTTTTTTTTTTGAAGAAAATATCACCCGTCTCTTTTGTTGATAAACTTTCTATGCACATTTCATTTGAACTTCCTTTAGTTCTTGTAGCATTTCAAAGATATTCTACTGGCGCCATCATTTGTTTCTTTTGCACATGCACAACTCATCTCAGCATGCTCTTCCCAAATTCTCAGATTATGCTACCTCTTAACATCTCAAGATTCATCTTCCTACTTTCTCAGATTATGCTACCTCTAACATCTCAAGATGCATTCTTTGTGTTTGTTTGTCCATGTGTATGTTTCATTCTTAACAATTTTCTTTAACTTACATTATCTGTATTTACAATTGTATTACAGACTTGCCTACTCAATGAGAAAAATGATGGCAGACAAGGCCTTGGCATGCATGACTTTTTCTTTTTCTTTTTTTTCCCCCAGGCTTTCTGGTAGTGACATGATACGTACATGCATTTGTTTTATGGTTTTACAACTACTGAACTGCAGGTCAGGAGGCTTTCTGGTTGTGAAACCATGGGCTTTGCTACTACAATTTGTATCAATAAAACTGGGACATTGACCTCAAATCAGGTTATTATTCTGTGGTTTCTCGAGTATGCATTTTGTTTCTCTACTATTCCAATTATTCTTTTAGTGGTCAATTCATGGTTTTGTGGAGTTCACTTGGAGAAGGATCTTTGCAACATGTAATTGTCGTCTTCGTTAGGAACTGCTCTAGTGCTTTGGCTTGAAGAAATTGGGAGGTCCCAAGAAGAAGGTATTTAATATCAGCTCTATATAGGTCTTAGTGGTTAATTGGAGGTTCATGTTAATTGAATGTTTAGAAACTAGGAAAAAAAAAAAAAAAAGGATGTTTAGACATTCTATGTTTACTTTTCTTTCTTTCTATTTTTTTTCTTTTTTGTCCGTTGATGTTTAGTTGGTTTGTATGACATAAAACTGAATGCAAGTGGGTGTTTTGGAGGATGTGGAATTTTTTTCTTTTTTTGGTTTGCAATTTTTTGTTTGGATAGGAGAGTGTAAGTGGCAAGAAGATTAAGAGAAATGCCATTTTTTCTAATTCTCACAAACTTTCTTCTGTTACAGATGACAGTGGTGGAAGCCTATGTTGGTGGAAGTAAACTTGACTCTCCGGAAGATGGGTCACTATTTCCTCCTACCGTTAAGTCCCTGCTTATTGAAGGTGTAGCACAGAATACAACTGGGAGTGTCTTTATGACTAAGGTGGGTGATTTTGTTTAATTTGAGTTTATTGTCATTTAGCTTGAAACTTCTGCATTAATATTTAGAGATTTCAAGTTGAAAATTGTAATATTAGTACATCATCCCACATTGACAAATTTCCCTTTACATGGATTGTGATTAATGATTTGATATTTGTATTGGCATATCTTAGAGCAGGTTGAAATGATAGTTCCTTGGACAGGTTTTTTTGGTCTTAATTATTGCGGCAATTTTTCTAAGTTCGTTTGAAATTGACGCGGCTTATACAAAAGCACTTGAAGAATCCCATTCAACATTTTGACCATTAAAGTATTTGGAAAGTGTATATAATTTTTCTCCCAAAAATACAGATTTTGACCTTTCTTGGAATTATTGATATGCGGCTTTAACAAAAAAATAGTTTGAAAATGTGCTGAACTCTTGATTTGGACTTGGATAGGATAAATGATGCAGTTAATTTTGTTACTAAATTAAAGTCTGTGGAGAACCAACATTTAAGATTCTAATGCATTATCTAGGGGAAAAAAAAAAAGATTCTAATGCATTTTATCGTGTCCAAAATTTTCAGCAATCTGAAATGTGTTCCAGTTCATTTTAGAAGTTTATAAGATAACTGAGTAAGAACAATTGTTCTTTGATTTTTGAGACTTTATTGGAACTCAAGGAAAATAGACAGCGTTGCTCTGAAAATTTGTGTTGCTGTAGAATACAGAGGAGAATTCGGTGGGAAACAATGTTATACAATTTTATTGAATTTGAGTGCATCACAACATATAACTTGAGATATGTCTACAATGTAGGTCAGTGTTTTGGGATTATGGAAAATATGACTTACACTAAGCAGGTCATAAAAGTAATGCTAATGCACACTGTTGACATAATGCAGCAACACAAATTTTCAGAGCACCCAGAAAAGGCATATAATGCACCCTGTTGACTTAGCCTTGGCTTATGAGTTTTATGTTGGTGAGATTACTTGTTTAATGTAAATCCATGGAGGAGATGGTTGATCTTTTGACTCTTTGAGAGTTTAGTGGCCCTATTGGTCTTGTGTTTCTTTTAGGGTTGCGCTCCCTTCTTAGCGCCTTTTAATACAAATCTTACTTACCAAAAAAATAAAAAATAAAAAAGAGATTACTTGTTTAATGTAAAAAGCCTCCTTGGATTATCCTTCTTATATGAGTAGGATTTCCACCTATTTTCTTCACTTTGTTGGTATAAGAAAATTTCCCCCATTTTGGTGGGAAAGATGGAAAAATAAGTGGAATGGAAAGGATAAGGGACGGAATAGGCTAGGGGTATGAGAATGTCCATCCTTCTTTTTGTTTGGTTTAGTGGAAGGGAAGGAAAGAGAGATATTCAACAAATATACTTCCAAATATATAAATTAATACACGTAATTGAATTTTTTTCAATACTATTGAAAAAATATATATATTTTCTCTCCTATTTCCTCCCAATTTTGGATGCACCTAAAATGGTGGTCTAGAAGGGATACCTTATCCACCCTTTCATAGCTTCTCTCGTCCCTCCCTCTATCCAACAATAGAACCCTGCTCCCCCCTTCCTTTTCTGTCATACCAAATGTAGGATAAAGATTGCTTGGAAGGCTTATATAGCAAAGGCTGGGAATGTCCCCTTGGGAAGTTGAAGATTTGCTTTTATAATAAAAATGTTTTTCAGCAGGATGATGACTGTTAATTTATTTATTCTATTTATCCTTTTGTCTTGCATTACACTTTATTATAGCTCATATATATAAATATTTGTTAGAGTTTCTTAAGAATATGAGTCTACTATTCCACATATGTTGTTCCTTCAATTACAAAATATCGTTTAGGTGATGTTGCATGCATATTTGCTGTGTGTATTTGGTTAATTAGTTATATGGTCTTGCATGTTTCAAGGGACCAAATATTAGGTGTAATTATCTGGTCCTTATCAGTCATTCTTACCCGATTTTTTCTTAGCTATTCCGATGGCTTTTTTAACCAAGGCCCCATCCAGCTATTAGAGCATGTAGTTGAGGTCCAGTTGTACTGTGAACTTAACCCCAAGGGGTTGGCTCAAGTGGGTTAGTCACTTGGCCCTAGTGCCTCAGGAAGAATTGGGTCTCATGTTCGACTCGTCTTGGGTGCAAACAATTCCTTGAAGAAGAGCGAGGGGGTGGGGTTTTACCAACTAGGAAAAAAAAAATACTGTGAACTTGGAACTGTTGTGTGATTGTTTGGTGTTGTCCTGTTTTATTGTATGGTTTGTTAATCTTTTCTTATCATTAATCATTTTGGTAGAGTAGAAGGTTGGGTGTTGCAGCATTTGATTTGATTCTATCATCAATTTCTCTGGATATGTGGAGGTTTCTGGATCACCAACAGAAAAGGCCATTCTCCAGTGGGGGGTCAATGTACCTTCGCTAATTTTTCTACTTCATTGCTCTTTTTCTTTTTTAATATAAAAAATTGATCAAGTCAATATCTTATTTATTTATTTTTTAATTTTATCATTGTTTCTTTTGTAGCTTGGAATGAATTTTGATGCTGTCAGATCAGAGTCTTCCATTGTCCATGTTCTCCCCTTCAACTCAGAGAAAAAACATGGGGGTGTTGCACTTAAACTGGTAAATGAATTGCTCTCGTTACACAAAAATGATCACCTTGGTTGATTTCTTGCTTGTCCTTTCACTTTGATCATAGTGTTTCATCATGGCACATGTATTTTTCTTTTGTTGTCACATTGGAAATACGATCTATTAATTGCTTGCTTATGATTTCATTATTTCTAACTCTGGGATGACTAGGAGAGAAAAATAAAAAAATAGTTCAAGAGGAACTAAGATTTTTTGAGTGAAATTTTTTTCAGGTAATCAATGAGTGAAAAGAAAGTCATGAATCAAATATAGTTGGTTTTATCTCACGATTATTGAATTTATTTATCAGATGATTGCTTGGAGCAGATATAGATTATTTATTTTATGTTTTTTAAATTTATGGCTAACACTGAAATAATTATACACAAGATTGGTAGTACGGGAATGTATTGGGCAACAGTAAAATAAGTAAACTATAAAAGAGTACTTGTTGCATTTCTCAACAAACTAGTTTCTGGATGCATATGTTTTTCCCCATTCTGAAATTCCAGAAACTAAAACTCATGTAAGATACTTTGTTTAATAACACTGTTATCATAAAACCAATAATGGAAGCCTCAGAAAACCTTGCGCATTAGATGACACGATCCCCGCTAGACCACATGCATTAGAAAAGTGACAAGTATGGGAGAAATTTGAACCTGAAATGTTTGTTTCTTAATCCATTGTCTTGACCAACTCATCTAGCTTTGTAGTTTAGATAACTGGGTAACTGCTGAGTTCTGACACTACTACCTTAGATATTTTAGAATAGTGTCAGACTGTCAGAGTTATTGTATTTTTGCATTTAAATTTTAGGTAACCATCTTGAATGTGAAAGTAAGATTATTGACAAGTGTTACAAATTGTCGTTCACGTTGAAACTCCTAATGTTAAGTTATTATAGAGATTGTAGTTGTATTAGAAAATTAGCCTGGCTGAATACCAGATGTTTTATTGCAATGAATCTATGGTGTCATGCATTGTGTTAAACACAATCGTATTAAATGCTGTAAAATGGATACTGTGGTCTGATAAGAAATATTTATGATGATATATTATAACGAAGTTATGGAATTCGAAAGATATTCATACCAGTCATACTCTGCCCTTGCAACAATACAATTATGTTGTTACTCATAATTCCTCCTATTTCTGTAATGTTTACAGCCTGATTCTGAAGTTCATATTCATTGGAAAGGTGCTGCAGATATAGTTTTGGCTAAATGTACAAGATACATTGATGCAAACGATTGCATTGTTCCAATGGATGGGGACAAGGTTGGAAAAAGCAGACTCTTTTTGAGATTAAATTGTGTTTGCCAGTAATGGTTAAGAATTTGAAGCTTTCTTGGACTTGAAATGAATTTTGGATTCCATTTGTTTTATGTTATCAAAGAGTTTTAAACTATTTATCTCTTTTTTGCCTTTTATTTTGGTTAAAGGTATTTCTTTTACTTTCCTAAAAAATAATTTATATTCACTTACTTAAAAGAGGAAAGGTGATTGTTCTGTTAGTTGATTTTATATAGGTAAGATTTTTAATCAGTTAATAAAATGTATTTTGAAAAATCATAAAAATATAATGGTGCTTGAATCTTGTTTTACAGATTGTCCTTTAATGAATGATATATAGCTGTCTTCCCCTAAAGTTCCTGATGTTGAAATTTGTGTTTATCTATAGGTGATTTTATTTCAAAAAGCTATTGAAGATATGGCTGCTCGAAGTTTGCGTTGTGTTGCTATTGCTTATAGATCATACGAGGTGGAAAAAGTTCCAACTGCTGATGAAGAACTGACTAGTTGGAAAATACCTGAGGATGAGCTTGTGGTGTTAGCCATTGTTGGTTTGAAGGTATTATTCTTCATTTGTTTGATATGTATTTTTTTTTTTGATAAGTAAGAATTTTATAAAAAAAGCGCTCAAAGGGGAGCGAAACCCAAGGATACAAGAAGAACAAACCAAAAAGAGCCTCAAGCCTTCAAAGAGGCCAAAAACATAACAATCTCCTTAACAGAACGATAATCTCTCCCTGAGACCCAACAAAAGAGAGTAGAAATAATAGAAAACTTAAGCATAGAAATGGGTTTCTCCTTGCCATCAAAGTATCTTCGATTCCTCTCGAGCCAAATGCACCACCAAACACAGAGAGGGGTAGCCCTCCAAGCATCACGGATGAGCGCCCCAACAGAGACACCTCTCCAAGCCTCAATCAACCCTCTAGAGGAACAGGGCATAACCCAGGGAGCCCCAAACAACCCAATCATCAAATCCCAACAATCTCTGGCCATACTGCAATGCAACAGAAGGTGATCCACTGTCTCCTCATCACAACGACACAAGTAACAGCGATTAATAACCACCTGTATTCTCCTCCTCAAATTACCCTGGGTTAAAATCCTACCCAAGACAGACGTCCAAGCAAAAAAGGCCACCTTAAGGGGAGCCTTGGAACGCCAAATAGCCTTCCAAGGGAAAGTGCCACCCTCCCCATCAGAAAGGCACCTGAAAAAGGATCTTACATTGAAACGACCCTGAGAGTGTGGACTCCAAAGCCAACAATCAGCCTCCTCATGAGATATTACCTGACGATAGAATAACTCCAAAAAACGAGTGACCTCCTCAATTTCCCAATCCTGAAAATGCCTCCTAAACTGAACGTCCCAAATTAGTCTTTCGTTATCAAGGTGATAACAGTCAACCACCAAGGCTTGCCTGTCAGAAGCAATCCTGTAAAGCCGAGGGAAAGAAAGAGCAAGGGGAAGATCCCCACACCAAAGGTCCTCCCAAAATCTGATCCTCCTACCATCCCTGATCCTAAAGCGAACATGATTACGAAAAACGTCCCATCCCTTTCGAATGCAAGTCCAAACCCCCACACCCCTAGGACCACGCCCCTCAAGAGAACACCACCCACCACTGATTTCCCCAAACTTGCTGGCAATAACTTTCCTCCAAAGCCAAAGTCTCTTAACCCCAAATCTCCAAAGCCATTTCCCAAGAAGAGCCTTATTGAAAGGCAACAACCTTCGAATCCCTAATCCTCCACTCCGAAGGGGCCGACACGCTTGCTCCCAACGAACCAGATAATATTTGAACTCCTCTCCTCTCCCTCCCCAAAGAAAATTCCGCTGCAAACTCTCAATTCTCTCCGCCACCGAAGAAGGAATCTGAAAAAGGGAGATAAAATAGGTGGGAAGGCAAGAGAGAGTGCTCTTGATTAGAGTGACCCGCCCCCCTTTGGAAAGGTACTACTTCTTCCAACCTGCCAGTCTCTTCTCAAATCTATCCACCACCGGATCCCAACTCCCCACACATCTCAAAGGAGCACCCAGAGGCAAACCTAAATAAGAAATAGGAAATGAGCCAGTGCCACATCCGAGGATCTGAGCAAACATCTCAATATCAGGAACATCCCCGACCGGCACTAAAACACTCTTTCCAACATTCACTTTAAGCCCAAAGACGACTTGGAACCAAATCAAAACACATCTCAAATGTCTTAGCTGGGATGCATCAGCATCACAAAGAAGCAAGGTATCATCAGCAAACATCAAGTGAGAAATCTCTAACTGACTAGCGACATCTCTACCCACCCGAAAGCCTCTCAACAATCCCAGATCAACAGCCTTTTTCAACAACCTACTAAGAGCCTTCATCACAAAAAGAAAAAGGAAAGGAGAAAGCGGATCCCCCTGTCTCAAGCCCCTCGAACTAGAGAAAAACCCCGTCGGAGTTCCATTTACAAGGACAGAAAAATGCGCATTAGAGATACAAAACAGAATCCATCTTCTCCAACGCTCCCCGAAACCCATCCTCTCCATCAAGTAGATGAGGAAACTCCAACACACATGGTCGTAAGCCTTCTCAATGTCCAACTTACACAAAACACCCGGAACCCCACTACTCAGCCTGGAGTCCACACATTCACTAGCAATAAGAACCGAATCCAAAATATGACGTCCTCCCACAAAAGCATTTTGAGAATCAGAAATGACACCATCCAGAACCTTCCTCAGCCTAGTGGCTAAGACTTTGGCAAGTATCTTGTAAAAACAACCCACCAAACAAATAGGACGAAAATCCCTAACATTCAGCGCTCCTCCCTTTTTCGGAACAAGGGCAATGAAAGTGGCATTCAAGCTCTTTTCAAAAGAGCCATGAGCATGGAAAGCATGAAAAGAGCCCATCACATCATCTCGGACCACTTCCCAACACTCCAAAAGAAAACGCAAAGAAAAGCCATCTGGACCTGGGGCTTTATCCCCATTACAGTTCTTCAAAGCAGACAAAACTTCCTCTTTAGAGAAAGGGACCTCCAAAAGAGAACAATCCTCATCCGAAATAGAGTCAAAATGAAGCCCAGCCAGTAAAGGTCTCCACTCAACTGGTTCAGAGAACAAAACTGAAAAGTAATCAGCAAAACTCTTACAAATCTCATCTTCCTTGCAAAACATCTCCCTTTCCACCCGAATCCTCCCGATATGATTGCCTTGTTTGTGAACATTAGCAAGTCTATGAAAAAATTTCGTGTTGTTGTCACTTTCCTTGAGCCACAAAGCTCTAGACTTTTGCTTCCAAGAAATTTCCTCCATGACCGCAATCTCAGCAAACTCCGCCCGACACCTGTGTTACCTGGACTCGTCGTTTCCGGCGAGGGTGTCCGTGTCGACACGACACGACACCGACACGGACTCGGGATATGCGTCCGACCTTGTACGGTCAAGATCGGACACGGCCGTTGAAGAAAACCCTTGTTTCAGTGGTCGGAAATTATGGTCGGAAATTTCTGGTTTCATCGTGTTTTCAGGAAGAGTTTTGGAGAAGACGAGGGTTCTTCACGCGTTGGTTTTGTATAGAAACCTACCCTATTTGGAGCATCCCACTCACGCGTAAACTTGACACCACTCACGCGTAAACTTGACAGCCTGTCATTGTCGAGAAACGTAATAGTGTGTGTGTATATATATATATATATATATATATATATATATATATATATATATATGATTGTAGCATAAATATCTATATATGTATAATCATTTAGTGGGTTACTAGCATGTTGACCGACATAAAAAAAACAGGTGTAATTTTACATTTTTGACCTTATAATTTATGATGGAAAAATTAGAAAAGATTGGGCAGGATTCAGTTACGGGATTTCTGTTCTTTCTTCCTCTTGTGTGTGACTGTGTGTATACACATATATGGTTTTTTTTTTTTTTCGGTTTTTTTTTTGGCAAGAATAACCTAAATTATTACTCTTCTTATATTTGTAAGTTAATACAATTATGTAATTTTGTACTTATGAAAAATCTTTTCCCCAGTTTTATTTTATTTTTTGTTTTTCCCTCTATGTTTTTTCAGAGTTCGTATTGCCGGCCAACAGTGCAAGAAACACTGTGAGATCACCATTGCCCAGGGAGCATTGTAAGAGGGATTCATTGGATTCAGCCGGACTCAATATTTTAATTCTGACTTCTCACCGGAATCATTCTTATTAAACATGGAGTAGTAAAATAAACTATGAGAAATTTGAGTTCCATTGATTCCAATTTGAATCCATGATTAATTTAGTTTGATTTTGAAATTATTGAGTTCATAAAATTACAACAATGAAAAAAAAAATAAAAAAAATAAAAAAAATTATGATTTAATTGACTAAAGGGAAATAGGAATATAACTTTTTTTTTTTAAGAAAAAAGGAAATTATAGGAATTTGAAGAGTAAAAGAAGGAAAAAAAAAAAGAAAAAGGAAATAAGAAATAATTTTAGTAAATGAAGATTTTAGATATAAAGGACCATAAGTAAAAGATCAAATTATGATTTGATTGACGAAAGGGAAATAGGAATGTAACTTTTTTTTTTTAAGAAAAAAGGAAATTATAGGAATTTGAAGAGTAAAAGAAGGGAAAAAACAAAAAAAAAAAAAAAAAAAAAAAAAAGAAAAGAAAAGGAAATAAGAAATAATTTTAGTAGATGAAGATTTTAGATATAAAGGACAATAATTAAAAGATCAAATTATGATTTAATTGACCAAAGGGAAATAGGAATGTAACTTTTTTTTTTTTTTTTTTAAAAGAAAAAAGGAAATTATAGGAATTTGAAGAGTAAAAGAAGAGGAAAAAAAAAAAAAAAGGAAATAAGAAATAATTTTAGTAAATGAAGATTTTAGATATAAAGGACAATAATTAAAAGAACAAATTATGATTTAATTGACGAAAGGGAAATAGGAATGTGACCCTTTTTTTTTTAAGAAAAAAGGAAATTATAGGGATTTGAAGAGTAAAAGAAGGGGGAAAAAAAAAAAAGGAAATATGAAATAATTTTAGTAAATGAAGATTTTAGATATAAAGGATAATAATTAAAAGATCAGACTTATTTGCTTTGACTTTTCAAAATGGATGACTAATATAGGAAATCTAAAAATAATATTGTCTAAAATAATAAAAGGTTTTTCCCATAATTAAATCTCATAAATCCATTAAAAAGGGTAAATAAATACTTATGCATTTTTTATATAACTTTCATATAAAAAATATTGAAAGTAAACTAATTTCACATTAATTACTAATCATGTTTGAGGTTTATAAATATTCTAAAAAATATTATATACATTATATTTAAATTAATTAACTTTTTATCCCATATTTAAAGCTCATATCTTACACACTCACTTATTGCTAAGAAAATTATATAATTTTCTTATTACTCATTAATCATGTTTAAGGGTATAAATATCCTACAAAAAAATTTAAATTTATATTACTTAAATTTCTTTTCTATTTAAATCTCACATACCCATTTATTCGTAAGATAATTATATAAATAATTACACATTAAATTATTTATTT